CCCCAAAACCCCAAAACCCCAAAACCCCAAAACCCCAATTTTATCAATATATTTTGAAAATTTAAATGCAAATAAATATCGAAAGAGAGAAATACCTCCAACAGAAAAGAGGAAGAACAGCTGCAACTCGTTCTAGAGATAGTAGGAGGTAAGCTAGGAGTGTAAAACTATAGTAAAAAGTTTGATCATACCACTGTATACAGCTTTTTCCAAGATGATAGCAGAAAGTATAAACCTCAGGAGTACTTCTCTCCTCAGACAAGGAAGAATAACCAGAGAAATATGAAAACAACTCACTTTGTATTGGGGTCTGATGGGAAAGAGAATGTTAAAAGGATGAGTGATTCTATGTCTGACCCTAGCCAGACAGTACCAGTGCAATCTAATCAGCATATCATCATGGCAAAGAATAGTAAAAAGGTAGATTTTATTTTGAGTTAATTTATCAGACACATTTTAAACTTAGCCCAAGCGGATCGAGTGGGAAAGAAAGTTTGAATACCACTCAGAGAGATTCATATAAATGTACTAAGAGCTCTGGAATCGCTCAGTCAAAGATGAATGCAATGAAATTTAAGCAAACTCACTTCAATTTCGGGTTTCAAAAGCAAAGCTATCATACTTCATACAACAGTATTAATAGGAGTAAAGCCTCTCTCATTATTTTCTAGATCAACCTGAAGTAGTTAAACATATTCCGAACTCTACAGATAATGTAATGAATCAGAAGGAGAAAAGCCTAGAGCTCCAAACCAAAAGAATCACAAAATTTTATAGTCAGATTGAAAAATTATACGGAAACGATCGTTCTCATAATCGGAAGAATACATTACCCCCTCATGAAATTCCTAAGGTGACTCCTTCTCTCACATCTAAAAGCTTGATGGTCTCTCCAAAGCCTGTTGATGGCAGGATTAATCAGAGTGGGACGATCACGTCTAACATTGACAACAACAAGTACAGGCCTAATAAGAGAGTCGCATATAAAAATGCTGAGTCCAAAAATAACAATATCACTCATGGATACAAAAACAAGGGATTTGTGAAACCATCTAAGAAATTAGATGGAAATTTAGCAAAGAAATATTACACTAAAGTTAGCGATGCACGGAAGCAAGCCAAAATTGTAGGTTTCGCCTTAAAATTTCCTAATCTTCGTGTAGAATAAAGCGAACCATAATTCACATCTGCATGGCTGGGTCTCAAAATTTCGGGAAAGAGTCATGAATACTAAGTTTGAGCCTAAGAAGAGCAAGGAGTTATCTAAACGCATGTTTCAATATAAAACTAAAGCAAATATGTTAAATTTCAGCAAGGATAAGATTATTCCAAGTGATACAGTGGCTCCAAAGCCTCAACCAATAAGAGAGTTTGAGAAGGATTGATCAAAGAAAATTAAAGCATTCTCTCCTGAACCTCAAGATCTAGGCCGGATTCAATCCCCGATGAACCTTGTCCTAAAGAACATGTACAATCTTGGCTTACCTTTTTAGGATTGCGCAAGAACACTTTACTATAAGGAATAAGAACAAGGCAAAAATTAAGAAGAAAGTTGAAAGCACCAATTTTGAAATCGCCCATAAGACAAATGTCAAAGTCCCTATTGAATCAAGTTATATGATAGAGTTCTTAAAATAAGAAACAAAGTGGTGCAGCTGTCAAAAGAGTTGGCATTCAGCCTCCTTCTAGTCTTCATCTGGAGCATTATGATGGAAATAGTACCTTTAGTTCATAACAAATTTAGTGCCAAGAGAATTTGGCAACAGAACATTTGCAGCTTCTAGAAATCCATATGGCAATATTCAGAGAAGTACAAAAACTGCCCAGAGTCAAAGAAGTCATCCTAAGCCATTCCAAGGCCACAAGCAATCTTTGAAGACTACAAAGCTGGATGAAAGTATAAAGTAAGCTGCATTTCACTATTTAGTAGTATTTCTGATAAACTAAAAGTTCAGTGTATTTCTTTGGATCCTCCACAGAAGACATCTCCCAATCTTTTTAAAACTACAAAGAATTGGAAGCACTAAACTTCACTATGATCCTACAAGTTCCTGGATTCCCGTAATCTCTATTCTTTATGTCCACCAAGTATTTATAAGATTAAGAATTATTATAAGTAGGAATTAATTTAACATAAATTGGGGTTTTGGGGTTTTGGGGTTTTGGGG